CAAAGGCAAGAATTCTACATCTCTTGTCCTTTTTAGGTAGTTCAGCTGGATGATAATAATGGATTTAAATTTGAACCTGCCAATGTTTGGAAATGAGGGTTACCTTTAAAGTTTTTAATCATGGCATTTTTTGGTATATATTTACCTTTTTAGTTTATTTATTTTTTATATTTTTAAAAATTAAAAATTAATGATTTAAATTAAAATTTTAAATTATACACGACTGTTAATACATTTTAATTTTGTCTAACTATAACATAACTAGTTATCTTACATTGTATGAATTTTTGAATTTTTAGTTTAAATAGATTTTAATCTAAATTTATTGTTTGAAAATTTTTTTTTTTAATAGCAAAAGGGCATTATAAAGATGGAATGAATATTATGATAATTCCTTTTATTTTGTGAAAAAACAAGTAAAAATAAAGATGGATAAAACCTACTACATTTGGAAACTTATCTATAGGTTCTTATAACAAGAAGATCAAGATGAAAAGAAGAGATGTTATTTATCCAAAAAAAAAAAAGAAGAAGAAATATTTGAGGAAAAGAGGTGGAAGCTGAACTAGCTTTAAAATAGGTAAATTTGATAATTTGTATAATATAAATTATTAATAACTTATATATTCGTATTATTTTTTATATAAAAATTATGTATCATAATTCGTATTCACATGAAAATATAAATTTTATTTTTTTGATTTTATTAAATTTATTTATAAATTTTTTTAATTTTAAATCGTATTATTTTTTCATCTTTTATTGGGATCATGTTTTAGATTATTCGCTCTAAAAATAGGCCCATCAACAATACAAAGCCCACACAAAAGGAATAATCTAGTTGGGCCAGCCCTCCCAAATGCAGGCTGATGATCAAACAACAATTCAAAGCCCACCTTGTGAAAATGTGGTCGTTTTTCAACTACCGAACCAACAACCAGAAACTCCTCCTGGCACGGAATATGTTTTAGTAGTGCAAAATAATAAATGGAGTAAAAAGAAATAGTGACAATCAGCTATTTTTCTCGGCAAATCTCCGGCCGCTATTGTGCTTGAAAGACGGACAGAAAGAGGAATGGCCACGTCACCTTCACAAAACCTGCAATCAGTGCGACTTCTATGCTTTTTTTCGTTGGATTCTCTTATATTTCCTTCTCAAATTTCTTCATTAAAATTTTCAATTTTTTCTCCTATAAAAATAAAACCAACCAAGCTTTGCACTAGCAGCAATGGTAGCTCTCAGCTTGTGGGAAGAGCCTCTGCCTCTCAATTCAGCGCAGACATGGGTGACATCCTCGGTGATGTTAGCATTTTCACAGTTTCGCAGCTGCTGGGCAGCCTGTCTATTTCAAAGACCTTTGGGACCAAAACCAAGTAAAATATTACAAATTTACAAGCATTTAAAATGGTTGCCATTGCTAAACTTGTTCAAATCCTGGCCTATCAATTTCATTTTTCTTCAGGGAATTGCTGTTTTTGCACTTCTACTCCATTTTGGATGCCCTTGTTGTTAAACACTTGTGCACCCACCAGCTTGTGGAAATTTTTTTTTTGTGTGGAAATCTATTATGATCTATTATTACTTGCTTTTTTTTTCCTCTTCTTGTAAGCTGGGAACGTGCTTTAGAGTTGAAAGAATCAAAAGCAAGATTTGACTCAGTTGGAGTAAAACTAATTGCAATTGGTGTTCGTACTCCTAACAAGGCATGTATGCTGGCTGAACGGGTACTTTCTTTTTACATTCCTTTATGTTTTTCTGGCAACAAATTCTTGTTTTAACGAAAAATCAAAATCTTGATTTTTTTTAACACCTAGATATCAGGTTGGGATATTGTGAGGATTCCTTAGGTCATATACCTACAGACTTAAACCTGTACTTTTGAGGCAAATTTGTGTATCAGAAGATATGACATATTTGAGTCAAAACTAATAATATTGGGCAAACTAGATAGGAGTCTCTACATTGTTTAATGGCTATGTTGAGACCAAAATATGTGGAATGTCAAAGTTGGAGTTGGAGATCCCATTACTTTGAGTATATTGTTTGTTTCCCTTGCCTCATCCAAAGGCCTCAGTTCACTTCATTAGATTAATGAAATAAAGAACCGATATAAAGGAAGCTAGAGTTTAGAGTTGAAGAGAAGAGAAATGAGCTGCCGCAATTCTATTGTGACTGAAGCATTTGGAAGTAGCGTTGCTACCCATCATGATTCGTAATTTGGCATGATCTCTAGAATTTTGTTTATATATTTTTGTTGATTATTCCCATGGGCCCTTGCTAATCATTCTAAGTTGGTTCACTGACATTGATTCAGTTACCATTTCCAATGGACTGCCTTTACGCTGATCCAGACCACAAGGTAATATTCCAGGATCAATGGACCCCGATTGTAGATTTCTTCCACTAATGGTTTTTAACCATGAAGCTTGAAACACTTTCCTCTTCAGGCATCTAATGTTTTGGGCTTGTATCATGGTTTTGACCGTACATTCCTGAACACAGCCAGTGTAACTCTCTCTCTCTCTTTTTCTTTTTTTTTTTGGCTTTTTCCAAGACTTTTATTTCTGTTTTATCTGATAGTAAAAGACGACTTATTGCAATTATGCAGATTAAGGTGTTTTCAAGGTTTGAGGCGTTGCAGAAAGCTGTAAAAAACTACACAATTGAGGCCATCCCTGACGATAGAAGTAGTGTCCTGCAACAGGTTTGCTTAATTTTGTTTTAGCCAGTAATTGTAAATGGTGCATTAACATTACCATGTCCTTAAATTGATTTGAAGTTGTTTCAAAGTGAACCAATTTCTCTCGTTGGTTTTATGAGGGAGGGATGTTTGTCTTCAAAGGTAAACAACTGTTATATGCGCGAAAAGATGAAGGAACTGGTGATCATGCACCTTTTGGATGATGTCTTTGACGCATGCTGCAAAGCTCCAACACCATGAAAAACTGTATTTGTATTGATTTATTTTTTCAGAATTGTGTGCAAGCCAAGTCCAGAATCGATGCCAAGTTCAGGTTGCTTGAAACGTTTGAAAAACTAAGAAATCCAAATAATTTGCCGCAGCTATATGCCAAATAAGAGAATTAGATTGATTTTTGTATGAATTTTGGCTAATTATTTTAAATTTGATTATTAATGCCTTCTTTTTTTGTTAATAGAAAATGTTGATTTTTTTTTTGTTAGTTAAAAAAAATTAAGGTTGTCATAACAGTTAACACTTATTTTGTTTTCAGGAAAATATTTAAATGAAAAGGCATAAATTTACGAGAAAATAGGAGATTCTTAGTTATAACCTTCTGGCAAGATTAAACAGCTTTTTGAGCCGGATCAAGGTGTTTTTAGGTCCAGATCGGTTGTTGGCAGCCAGAATTGATGAAAAGATAAGAGGAGAAAAGAAAACGTACTCATAATATATTAAATATTATTTAATTTTGATATAATGATAAATTTCAACATAGGGATTAAAATTTCTATTATTATTTGTATGTTAATAATAATTATAAATATATTACAAATAATGAAAATTTTAATGAAAAATAAGTGGTGAACATTGTTATTAAAATTATAACGAACTCTCGGTCCGATTGATTGAATAGATGAATCAATGTTAAAATTGATTCGATTCTATAATTAGATCAATTTTACAATTAAATCACTTTAAATTATTATGAAATGATGATTTATATAATAAATAAGTAAATCAAATGATTTTTTAAATCGAATTAATTCAATACTAACTAATAAATTTAGGTAAAATATAAAAAAAAAACCTTTAAGTATTCAAAATAATTTAATTAAGCCCTTATACTACTATTTTATCTAGATAAGCTTCTCAACTCTTATTTTTTACTATCAAAACCCATTTATCCTTAAATTAATGATATGTTGATTTATTTTGAGATATGTGAATAATAATATTACAAAAAAACCAACACATGTGTAAAAATAAGCAATTTAAAAAAAAAATGATCTAACAAAAAGTTTTATTAATTGATATCGTAATTAAAAATAATTATAAAGTTAATAATATATAAAATTAATAAAAATGAAATGTTAATAAAAATTATTAATTATTTGATCATGATAAAAAATAATTAATAAAAGAATATGTATATATATAAAAGTAATAAAAAAATCTACATTCATATAAAAAATATAAAAATTCTTTTAATTTCCTTTTAACAAATTTTCATATAAATATAAATATTTCCTTTTTATTAATTTTATACATTGATATTTCTTCTTTATTACATAAAGATTAATAATTATATTTTAATAAATAATAATTATAATAATTATTTATAATTATTTATTAGTTACTATTTATTATATTTATTAAAATATAAATATTATTTCCAACTATTAAAATATAAAATATGATTTTAATAAAATGTTAAGTAATTTCATTTCTAACGTCTAATTAATTGTTGTATGAACTTTATATTTTAAACTTTGTAATTTATGATATACTTTAAATTTTATAGTTTTATGGTTAAATTATTAAACTATAACATGAGTTAAAAGTTTAAATTTTGATTTTTTAAAATATTTAAATTTTTTAAAATATTTTTTATTAAATTGACAATTGACCCGATTAATATAGTAATTGAACCATTAATTCGATGATCCGAAAGTTTGAACCATTTAATATTCGATTTGATTCTAATAACTATGTCAGTGAAGGCTAAATTCTAATAAAGATAAAAAGTATTGCCGTTTAGAAGAAATAACCAGCTGGCTCAAAGTAATCCAAGTCCTACTTTTTCTTGGCTAATAAAAATATTTATTTTTTAAATATAATAACAAAAAAAATGCCAATAGCCATTGATATAAATACATAAACCATGCAAAGGAAGTATAATTCTAGTTAATCTCTTTCTTAGTTACATACATATAGTAAGAAAGACCTGCTATTTGTTTTCAATTCTATCCTCTTTCTATTCCCTTTTTTTTCTCTCAAGTTTTCAGGGTCTCTTAATTTTCTCTACTTTTTTCTTCCATGGAGTTTCAGAACCCAAAATTGTTTGTAGGAGGGGTTTCGAATGAAATTGACGAAGCAACACTAAGACAACACTTTAGCCAGTATGGTGAAGTGGAACATGCTTTTATTATTCATGGCAAAGGAATCGGGTTTGTGACCTTTACTGATCCTTTGATGGCCAAAAACGCTCTCCAAGAAGAACACATTATTCTTGGTACAAAGGCAAGTATTAGAATGGAACTTTTTGTATTTTTCTTTTCTTTGTTAATATATGGGGTTTGAAGTTTGATCTTGTGAAAAGTCGCATTGCTTGGTCTCACGATTTTATCTTAAAAAAAGGTTACAAGTCTAATATATATTTTTCTTCTTAATCTGCAGGTTGATGTAAAGCCAGCCAAACCAAGAGTAGAGATCAGTAATAGGAAGATTTTTGTGGGAGGTTTGCCTTCTACCATAACACTAGAAGAATTTAAAGAATATTTTGGGAGTTATGGTGCAATCACTGATGCAGCTATAATATATGACAAAGGAAGTCATAAATTTAGAGGATTTGGGTTTGTCACTTATGATTCAGAGGAAGCTGCGGAGAAGGTTTTGCAGAAGAACTTTCACGAACTGAATAATAAGATGGTGGAAGTGAAAAGAGCAGAACCAAAAGAAAAGACGAAAAAAAACATTGAGTATCACGATGTTGGTACTCCAGCTGCACTTCCGGTTCCTTGTGGCCTTTATGATGTTACTGCTCAGCCTGGTTTTATTCCTCATGGTGGAAGCTGCCGCTGCCACCGCTGCTACTACTACAACTATTACCACGACTACTACTATTGTTTTTTTGTCTTGGTCCCAGATGAATACCAACATAGTTTTGGAAGCTATTTGAGTAAATGGCCACACTAACTCTGACTCCGGGCTCCTAGCTGTAAGTGGATAAACTGGCAAAAAAGAATTTTCTTTAGCAAAATATTTTTCTATTTTGAGTTGATCATATCTTTTGTTTCAAAAAATATTGATCATGGTTTAGTTTTCTAGTTGTTAATTGAGTAGGATGACAACACTCATGAATGGAGAATGGTTTGAGGTGGGTTCTCATCAGGCTGGCCATGTGGCACAGCCTTGGGTTTCAGTCCATACTTTAAATCCCCATTTAAAGTAGAGGCCTAGAGAGTGTAGGCATCCCTCTGTTTGTGCCAGTTTTTTTCTCCGGATGCCCGTCCTAGGTCTAGGTATCTCTATGTTTGGACCATTGTGAATAACAAATGTAGATGGTTATTTTGGGAACAATGTTTATTAGCTAAATGCAATTGGCACATACAATACGTCCAGTTGCTTCTCGTGGATTTTCATACCCCTGTTGCCTAAAAATAAGATATCCATTTGAAATGGATGCCTCGGTTGTCCAAGAAAAAGTATTGGTACAATCATTGATCCCGAAAATTTTTACAATAAAATTAGGTTCCTGTGCATTGAGATTACATTATCTCACGTAATAACAATTAAAATCATATTATTACATGTGAATAACAAATGTAGATGGCTATTTTGGGAACAATGAATCTGTCAACTTGATTTATGTAATCTGTATAATCTGTAGCATTTGGCTTTTGTTTTGTTTTGTTTTGTTTTTTCTTCTTTTTTCATTGAATAATATGTATTCATATGTTTCTAATTGTTACAGGAGAACTATACAATACCAGAACAAGAGAGGAAGGCAAAATAAGGACACGAATCTGTGTAAAAAGTGTTGCACACTTGTTTTTTTTCAAAGATCGTTGAAACAGTTTAATAATCATTTGACTTTGATTATTTACTCTTAAGCTGTTTTATGATAATTTTAAATTTCTCTGCATGCTTTAATAATTATCTTCTATTTTATATTGTGATGTAGTCATTAGAGGTGTAAATGATACATTAGTACTTGTAAGCTATTCGAGTTCGATTAGAAGAAAATTCAAATTTGGTTTGATTATTATCGAGTCGAATTCGAGTAGCTCGACTTATCGATCGAGCCGAATTCGAGTATTCTTATATCTGGCTTGAGTAGCTCGCGAGCCTAATCGAGTTTTTATATTTAAATATATTTTTATTATTTTAATTAATAAAATATTTCGAATCCGAGTTCGAGTTCGAGCATAAATTAATTCAAACTTTTATCGAGTATTACGAATCAAACTTATTGTGTACTATTAATCGAGCTTAATTGAGGAGCTCGGAGGAGCTCGAATTCTATCACGAATCGAGTCTGAGCTTAAAAAATAAAATTCGATCGAATTCGAGCCGGGTATCGAGTCCCGAGTTATGAGTCGAGCTCGAACTTCTCATTGTATCGACTCGACTCGACTCAATTACACCCCTAGTAATCATACATGTGTAAGCTGCAAACAATGTGTTTTTGATAATTGTCCTTTCCAATACATTATAATTTCTAAGTCATGTGTCCTCACCTCTTTTTTAAAAGTGGATAAAATTTACTTGAAATTATTTAGATGTAGTTTGTAAAGGTTATTTTATAGAATTGAATGTAAAGATCAACAATATGTAAAAAATTTATTAAAAATATTATTTATAATTTAAATTTAATCTATATGTATTAAATAAAAAAAATTCTATCAATATATTTATTAAAAATATTTATTTAATAAATTTATTAAAAAATTTTCAAACTTTCTATACTTGATCTTTGTGATAAAATTTTTCAAAATTTCAATTTATCAATTTTAATTTTTTTTATTTTAATATTTTAATTTCTGATAAGAAACTTCCTCAAATAAAATTTCATGTAAGTCTTTGTATTAGAGAAGCATTTCTTGCACTTAAGTAGTCTGGTAATTCAATGCATTTATGTCATATAAAATATAAAAATTTATGTATTTATATCGTATTTTATATAAAAATTATTTATTATAATTTGTATTAATAGAAAATATATAAAATATATATTCTTTAATTTTATTAAATTTATATAATTATTATTAAAATTTTAAATTTTATAATTTTTATATCTATTTTTAATATCCTATCATATATTTTAAATATTGTAAATTCAGATTTAGTGTTAAGAGTGTGCTTTCTTGCATGAAAGGAACCCACCAACAACCCGTGCTAGACATTTGTGATTTGTAAATCTATTCAATTCATTTCTAAACAAAAAACTTTCTTTGATTGCGCTGTATAGAGGGGTCTAGGAATGTGGGGATTTTGGTGATCAGTGCTTTATGGATCTTGACTAGGGAATACAGTCTGGCTACTGCTTTGCTTTCTTTGGACATGTAGACGGCTTTCTCCGCTTGTGATAGAAAATCTAGTAGGGTCTTCTCTTCTCGGCAGGGCTACACCACCCCTAAAGTTTAGGGTAGTCCCACTGTCCCAGCCTTTTTACATCTCTTAATTATCATAAACAATATATTACCATAAAATCTTTTCATATATTTGAAATGAGAAGGAAAATTGCAAAATAGCACGCAATTACCAATCCAAAAGAAAAATATGTATGCTACTACAGTTTGCAGACTTGCACCAAGCAAAGTAGCTCTAGGAAAAGAATCAAATGTCTGAATGCGACTTTATTATCAATTTTCCTTAGCAGATGATATAAGGAATGTCAATAGTTAGGATATAGTATATTTAATGGATATTTTAAATTTATTTTTATTTTTATTTTTTTGAATATTTAATAAGTATAAGTAATTCTTATGCCTATAATTTAAAAAATAAAAATAAAAATTTATTTCTAAATTTTTTATTTTTTATTTATATATTTAGGTAATTTTTTATAAATATATATTCATATATATTTTTTAATAAAATATATATTAATTATAATTAATTTAAAAATATAATTGGTATTATTTAATAAAAATATATTTACCAATTATATATAAATATATATGTAAAATACGAATATAAGATAAGTATTATATTACCTGTCCTTATATTTATACCTAATAAAAATTTAAAATTATATCTATTTCTATCTTATATCCATAATATAATACTAACTTCATTTTCATTTGGTAAAAAGTCACTCAAAGAAAGAGAGAAGAAGATAAAAGCAAAGTTAAAAAAGAGTAGTGAGGTTTAGAATGTTGTAGAGAAATTTAGCATTGATTAATAGAAAGAAACTACCAAGGAAAAAAAATGCTCTCTCTTTCACAGTCACTCCCTCAAAAAGGAAAAGGGATTAATGATCTTTTTGTTAGAAAGCGTGAGATCCAGCTCCATGTGTTATTTGACTATTCAAAGCCATGGGCCTTGTGTTTTAGGTTACTCTAAAAAAGTTCTACATAATTTAAAACATGATGGCTAGTTTTGGAGTGAAAAATAAATAAAAAAGTGCATTGCAAGCTGAAAAGGGGAAAAAAGAAGTTAAAAAAATAAAGAGAAAAAAAAAGAGTTGGTTGAATAAAAATCAATATATGATCCGATTGAGCTAAAATTTTATCAACAAGTATATAATTTAGAGTTCTACATGATGAAAATTGGGTTTGAAGCTTTCTAAAAATAAATTCATGATATATTTGTTAAGTCATTTATTTGGTGACATTTCTCTAATTATCTCTCTAGTTATTGATTAGTTCTAATTTTAGCTAGATGAGAACTTTGTATATCTATTATTTGATAGTGAAGATTTTTCTAGTGGTTCATAATTTTTTTCCTCCACACTGGAGAGTTTTTCACATAAATCTTAATATACTTTATTTTTTTATGTTTTAGATTATTAATTATTGTCTATTACTGTATGTTTATTATTAAAAATTGCTTCTATATTGTTATGTTTATTGTTTTAGGCCTGACAAGTAATATCAGAATGATGGTTATTTTCAAATATCGACACAGAAGTAACTCAAGACAAAAATAAATTATGTTTAAGATCATAAAGGGTATACAAGTTCAATGATAAAATTGATAGCATCAAATTATTCAATTTATAAACTTATGATGAAGGATCATTTATATTGTAAAGATTTGTATGAACCGATATTTGGTGATTCAGCTAAACTAATAGATACAAAAGATAAAAATTGGAAGAAATTAGGCAAAAAGATTTAGCTATAATCAGAAAAAGGGTTGATATCAACATGTTTCATCATGTAGCGCAGGAGAAAGATGCACATACTATTTTAAAAAAATTAATAGCATTTTATGAGAGGAAAACATGTATGAATAAAGTTAAGCTTGTTAAAAAGGTTGTAACTCTATAATATAGAGATGGACGATTGGTTATAGAATATTTGAGTGATTTTTATGATATATTTAATTGGATAACTATTATGGAGCTTAATATGGATAATGAAATGAAGGCGTTGTTTATTTTAAGTTCATTGCCAGACAGTTAGAATACTGTAGTTGTGACTATTCTTAATTCAGTTTCTGATTACAACGTAATATTGGTGATGGTAAAGATAGTATACTTAATGAAGAAAGAAGGTGAAAAGATTTAGAACCTAAGAATCAAGTTCTTGTCATAGAGAATAAGAGTAGAAACATCGATAAAGGTTAGAACTCAAAAGGTCATAGTAAGTCTAAACATATATCCAAGTCTAAAAATAAAGTGAAATACTTCCATTGTAATAAAGTAGGTTATATAAAACGATATTGTAAAATTTTAAAACAAGAGTGAAAAGATGAAAAAGTAAGAGTTTAGATGATGCCAATATTATAATAGTAAATTCAGATAGTGATTCAGTTACTTTGATTCATACACATAGTGATTGTCATCATGTTACACAATATACAAGATATAGATGCAATTGAATGGCAACCAGATAAATGTCATTGAGGATGATGTTTTAGCAAACTCGTGACACAAGAGCCTGGTACACACATGTTTTGACAAGGCGATCTCTCATTACCTTGACCAAAATGATGTCTTTGGATTCATGTGATCATTATTTTTTTGGTAAGTATCATAGAGTTTTTTTTTGTAAGAATTCTTAGAGAAAAGAAAATAAATTGGAATTGATTCATTCTGACATATGTGGTCTCATTGAGGTTGAATCATTGAGTGGTAGCAGGTATTTTATTACTTTTATTGATGATGCTTCACGTAAGACTTCGATGTATATGTTGAAAAAAAAACAAGTATTGTAGTATTTTCAAAAATTTTATACCATGGTGAAAAGGATGACAAGGTTGTCTACCATTGAAATGTATTCAAACTGAAAATGATGAAGAATACACATCCAAAGATTTTAAAAAATACTATTTAAAGCTTGGGATCAGACATGAGATAACAAAACCTGAAACATCGCAACATAATGGTGTGGCTGAAAGGATGAACTACACCATTTTATAAAAAGTCAGATGTATGTTGAGGATAACAAAATTACCAAAGTCATTCTAGGGTGAAGCAGTCAATGCAGCTTATTATTTGCTTAACAGATCACCATCTATTCTTTTAAGCTTTGACATTTTAAAAAGAGTGTGGATAGGAAAAAATGTTTCATACTCTCACTTGAAAGTTTTCGAGTGTAAAGAATTTATGCACATGCCAAAAGAGTAGAGATCAAAGCTTAACAGTAAAGCTACATAGTGTGTATTTGTAGGATATGATAATGAAGAATTTAGTTACAGGGTATAGGATCTAGTAAAAAAAAATATTAAAAAGTTGAGATATGATTTTTCATGAAAAAAATGGTAGACTTTGAGAAAAATAAAAAGACTACATAGGTTACTGTTAAGTATGATATTTTCACACCGATATAGGTTCCACAAAAAAAAAGCCACAGATGGTAAAAATAAGTAAAAGATAGAACTTGAGAATACAAATGAGCCTATCACTGTTAATTATAAGCCAAATGCAATTAGTTTTGTGCATGAGGGGCAATCCTCTTTACCTGATAGTGTTGAGCAAGATGAACAGTCTTCTACACCAAAAAGTGTTAAATAGGAAGAGTTACTTTCAAAATCAGGTAGTGTAACGTCTCAACATTTGAGATCTATCAGAGAGCATAGATCATCTACTAGGTATCCAACTTTAAATTTTATTTTAGTTATCAGTGAGAGAAAGTCAGAGAGCTTTCAAAATATACGGACTACTACAGATAAAAAGCATTGGGTAAAAGCAATGAAAGAATATATGGAGTCATTACAAAAAAATGATACATATGATCTTGTTAAACTTTCAAAAGGGATGAAGTTATTGAAGAATAAATGGGTGCTCAAGTTAAAAAAAGATGAGGACAAACTAATGAGGTACAAAGCTTGATTGATGGTAAAAAGTTTTTTTTTTTTTTAGAAACTTGCATTGATTTTAATGAGATCTTTTCTCTAGTTGTGAAGATGAGTTTTATTCGAGTGGTACTAACTTGTTTTAATCTTGAGTTTGAGCAACTTAACATCAAGATTGCTTTCTTACATGGTGACTTGTAGAAGGACATTGATATGATAGGATTTCGAAGTGAAAGGGAAAGAGCACTTAGTTTGCAAATTAAAAAAAAGTTTGTATGGTTTGAAACAAGCTCCGCGATAGTGGTATAAAAAATTTGATTTTTTTATAATAAGCCACAATTATAAAAGAATAGTAACAGATTCTTATGTGTATGTCAAAAAATTCTCTAATGGTAACTTCATTATTCTCTTATTATATATTGATGAAATATTGATTGTTGGACAAGATGCTAGTATGGTTCGTAGGTCGAAAGAATAATTATCTAAGTCCTTTGACATAAATGATTTAGATCCAGTAAAGCAGATTCTTAGTATGTATATTATTTGGGATAAAAGAGTTGAAAAACTATGATTATCACCAAAAAAAATGTTAAACGGATGCTTAGTAGATTCAACATACAACATAGTAAATCAGTTAACAGTCCATTTGCTAACCATTTTCATCTGAATAAAAAATCTTATCCAATGACTAAGGAAGAGCAACTAACTATGTCTAATATTCCTTATTCTTCTATAGTTGATTCTTTGATGTATCTTATGTTTTGCACACGATTTAACATTACTCATGCAGTTGATGTAGTGAGTAGATTTCTTTATAATTCGAAAAAGATTCACTGAGAAGTAGTGAAATAAATTTTTAGATATTTAAAGAATAGCTCAAAAATGTACTTGAGTTATAGAGTTTCACTATCAGTTCTAAAAATATTTACTAATGCTAATATGACATATGATCTTAATGGTAAAAAATCTATTTTAGGGTATTTATTCACTTTTGCAATAGGAGTTGTGTCTTGGCAGTCTAATTTACAAAAGTTTGTTACCTTATCAACTATAAAGGCTAAATACATTACAACAAATAAAGCAGGTAAAGAAATGCTATTAATGAAATATTTTCTTCTTAAATTAGGGTTAAATTAGAAAGAATATGTGATATTTTGTGATAGCCAGAGTGCTTTAGATTTGAGTAAGAATGTCATGTATACCTTGTTAAAACGAAGCATATTGATGTTAGATATCACTAGCTATGTTCGATGATTAAGGAAAAACATATATTGTTGAAGATAGTCCATACTAATGAGAGTACAGTGGATATGTTGACAAGGCACTTCCTAAATAAAAGTTTGAGCTCTACAATAACTTGGTCAAAATAGGTTCATTGGCCAAGGTAAGTTCCAAATGAAACTGCTGTGGTGATGAATCTTTTCCTAATAGGGCTGAAAGAGGAGATTGTTAGAAAGAGTGGGGTTCAGCCCCATGTATTATTTGACTATTCAAAGGTTATGAGCCTTGTGTTTTAGGCTACTCTAAGGGAGTCCTACATAATAAAATATGTGAGGGCTAGTTTTGGCATGAAAAAAAAATAGAGAAGTATGCCGCAAGTTGAAAAGGGGAGAAAAGCAAAAAAAAAAAAAAAGGAAAAAAAAGAGAGAGTTGGTTGAACACAAGTCAATACGTGATCCAACTACGTTTAAATTTTATCAACAAGTTTATAATTCAGAGTTTTACATTCTCAAAGGTGAATATATGGTTTGAAACTTTGCAAGAATAAATCCATAGTGTATATGTTCAGTCACCTATTTGATGAGATTTTTTCAATTATTTTTCTAGTTGTTGATTAGCTGATGAGAATTTTATATATCCATTATTTGATAGTGAAGATTTTTTTAGTAGTCCATGGGTTTTTCTCTTTATACTGGAGGATTTTTTTAGGTAAATCTTAGTATACTTTATTTTTTTTACGTTTTGAATTATTAATTGTTATTTATTACTATAATTTTATTGCAATTTATTAATTCTACATTATTGTATTTGTTACTTCAAACCCAATACTTTTAGCCCCATGGAGTAAGTATAACACAAAATAATGAGCTATGGTCACTCTCAAATTTATTGCTAGCCATTACGTGCTTTATCTGTTTACCTTGCATTGCATTGCAAGCTAGCTATTTTTCTGTAATACCATTTGGATTTGCTGGCTCCCACGTGAATTACCAAATTAATCCCTTCGCCTCATAAATTTTATGCTTCCTTTTTTGTTCTTTAATGCCATGCCAAATGCTCTGCTTATTTTTCTCTTCTTTGCAAGATTGATATTGAATTAGTTGAACTATGTATGCATAATATTACTATTTAAGCATTTCATTACCCATTAATCATTTATAAAATCATAAAATAGGATTGAACAATAATTCATATCAGATTCCAAACGAATTAGATCAATCAGATCAAATCATGTCAGCCTTTTTTTTATTCAATTAATAACTGACTTGATATTAATGTTAACCGAAATGCTTCTCTGGCCTTACCTGAATGGAGCCATATATATAAGTACAAAGACAAATGGCCTATGTCTATAAGCTAACAAGCTCCAATTCTACCGGCCAATTTTCTTTGAAGAAGCGTATCCTTAAAGCATATTCTGCATCTAAATTTAAACTATGAACAAGAAAAAACCTTGGTGAATTTAATATTCTGCCTCACCGATCTTTTATAAGATGAAAGAACCTAGTATTATCAAACAACAATAGGAAAACAAAAGATGCAGGAGCCAAAGGTTGTTCTAGTCACCGGTTGTGCCAAAGGTGGCATTGGATATGAATATTGCAGGGCATTTGCTAAGCAGAATTGCCGCGTCGTTGCTTCTGATATCCCTCAACGCATGGATGACATGCTAGATTTCGGTTCCGATAAAATTGAAACGATGGAGCTCGATGTTTCATCAGACGAGAGCGTGTCATCAGCTGTGAACACTGTTATATCCAAGTATGGTCACATTGATGTGGTACTAAATAATGCTGGTATAGGAAGCACCGGCCCTTTGGCTGAGCTTTCACTGGATGCAATCAAGAAAGCTTGGGAAATCAACACATTGGGGCAGCTAAGAATGGTGCAACAAGTTGTGCCTCACATGGCTTCAAGGCGCAAGGGAATTATAGTCAATGTAGGGAGTGTTGTTGGAAGAGTGCCAACCCCATGGGCAGGGTCATATTGTTCTAGCAAGGCTGCTGTCCATGCCATGACCAACGCTTTGCGTGTTGAATTAAGGCCCTTTGGCATCAATGTGGTGCTTGTGGTGCCTGGTGCTGTGAGATCAAATTTCGGAAGCTCTAACCTCGAAAGGCTGGGAAATCATGATTGGAAACTTTATAATGAATTCAAGGATGCCATTGCTGAGCGAGCCAGGGCTTCCCAAGGTTCCAAGGCAACAGATGCCACGACGTTCGCACGACATGTCGTAAAGAAGGTTTTGAGTCCCAAACCACCAAAGCAGATAGTATTTGGTCACATGACTGGTTTGTTTGCTGTACTTTCATGTTCTCCACTTTGGGTTAGAGATCTGTTTTTCAGTACTCGTTTCAACCTAAACAAGAGAGTCTAAGGAATTACAAATGGTCGAATTATCAGCTACTCAAGTTAACAACTACTGAGCTGATTAGCAGATCATACCAAGAAGGAATTGATATGTTCGTGAGTTAACAGGTATTTATTGAATAATAGAGAAGTACCTGTAACTTTCTTTTTTGCATGTTGAAGTTATCAGAATTTGAACCCGATCACTGAAACTTAAAATCCAGAATAGGTCGGGTCACTGTTAGCGAAGTACCTGTAACTTGTTTCCTTTAAAAGGAAAGCAAAATCGGCTTATGCAGCAGCGAAGTTTCTTTGTTAGTCGATGCACTATTTCTAGAAAAACTTATTGGTCTCCAGTGCTTTTTTTTTGGGCGGATTTTCTCATCATTGCTAAAATAAAAAAAGATGGGAGGGAGTGTACCCCTCAAGCTCTTCTGTTACATCTTTCCCACTCAAAAACTCTTCCCCAATCCCCACTCTCTTTTCAAACAAAATCGTTCTCTAGAAATTCTCTCCAATGAATTTGGCTATAGTCATGCAAATTTTGCATGCAAAAATGTATACTTTATACCATGAAATTTATTCAGGCCAACATATATATGGTACTGACTGAAACCCTCTCTCAAAAAATTCCAATTTAATTCTTGAATTTTACCCTTTAAATCTTTACTAGGTTTTTTTAGCTTGAATTTCAATATGAAACATAGTCCTGATCGATGCCGCCTAACACTCTGTTTGGCTGCCTCGAATAATATTGTGATTTTCAAATTTTTAAAAATTGTTACTTTTTAATCTTTAGGGATAGGATCTTATAATAAATTATATAAAAAATTATTTAATATATTGTCAGCAAAATTTTTAATTTCAAATTAATAAAATGACATATGTCTCATTTTTTTAAATTAATTTTTTATTTATTTAAATATGCACTAAGAATATATATAACCTTCTAAACCCGATTTGTAAAATTAAAAATTTATACTACCAATATATTTGATAATTTCTCAAATTATAAATGCTCTTGAGAAATTATTTTTACCTACAAATGATTATTATAATTATTTAAAAAATTACATATATCATCTATATGTATTTAAGGAAAAATTTATTAATTTAAAAATTTTATAGAGATATTTAATTTAATTTTTTTTAATACTTATGCATTTTATTCTTTTATATATAAATAGATAGAAAAAAGATGATATACATATATAATATAACAAATTAACAATTAAATGTTTACATTTATTGTAAAAACTAATTGACAAATTGAAATGCTTAATAAAATTGATATAAAGTTGGACTAAGTCCAACAATCTCAAATTAAAAAGCACAAATTCTTAACATATGCTTGAATACGTAAGGCAAAATTTTCATTCGTGCCCAAAGGAGATCTTTATAACAAAGTCTCTTCTTGTCGAAGAAACCAAGACCATGTAATTAAAAAATAGAAAATAATTTGGAATGGGCCAGGCTTATCACACCCAACCCCCCTCTTATTTGATTGTACTAAATGATTCCCAAGCATTTGGACCCACCAGGGTCCCTACAATTAGGTAAGTTATTTCACTCAAACCAAACTTTTTTTTGCCTAGGGTTATCATTAGTAATTTATATATTTATATTACATAAAATATTAATAATTTATATATTTATATCATATTTTATATAAAAATTATATGTTATAATTTATGTCAATACAAAAACATAAAATATATATTTTTATTTTGTTAAATTTATTTAAGATTTTTGTTAAAACTTGTATTGTATTGTGTTTGAAATTATCAAGTTTATTTGATATTTTTTTTTCTTTCGTTTTTAAGGTCCACAAACAAAATACCAACCCTTTTATATGGCTGTTCGGATACATCTAACTTCTCCAATTATAAGAATCGAGCAAACTTTCTTTTACACTCCACATTGCAACACCCATTGTTTTTTGTATTTTAAAGCTTTCAAGGTGGCATAAATTGAAGTCTTAAATGGAACTACTGTTGGTGTTAGGCCTTTTTGCACATTTATTCTTTCATCTCTATTGAGAGAAAAAAGGGCTTTTGGTTTTTGTGTCTCAAATTGGTTAGCAAATCACTATCTAAAACAAACCAAAAGAAATGTTTTGTCCACAATAATCCCACCAAAGTCCAACTCAAAGAGGGTGTTGATTTTGAAAGCTTGCAATCAACCTGAACATGAGTTGTCCCACCAATGCTATGTTAAAAAGTTGGGATCCTGTTGTCGAGGGGCCCATTGTATCACACGGTTGGGCTTTCCGAGGGGATGAATGAAGTTGACACCAACAGCACAAACCATTATGGGGTGAAGATTTTTTTTTATGACATCATAGGGTATGCTAAGGTTTCGACGAAATTTAGTTTTTTTTTTTTCAAATGATTTTAAGGAAAAAAAAAAATTTTTTTTACATTAGTTTGAAATATTTAACATTTTTATTTAATATATTTTGAGAATTTGAACTCCAATTTTTTAATAAAAGAAAACATGCATAAACCGTTGACTCAAGACGCTTGAATGCGATGCCTTAAGAGGTGTAACTGCATGAACAGAAATTTATTCCACAATTGGGACGTTTTGGATAGCTTTGCACTCCAAAAGATGGCACATTTTAAGTGTGCTGTCATATGACCAACTATCATTGTTTGTGACCTCGAACATTCTCAAGAAAGATTTTAAATCATACCAATAACTTGTTGTCAGTTGTTTAAGATTTATTTTTTTTTTATAAAAAAAAATTTTAATTTGAATGTTATTGATAATTATTTATTAAGATTATTTTGAATATATAATTTATAATTATTTATCTTAAACTGTCATATATATATATATATAATATAATTTATTTTAATTTGAATAACTGAATAAATTTTTTTTTGAAATTTTTGTATCAAAGAAAAAAAAAGACAATTTTAAATCATTATAACATCCCTTTCCCACTGTACGTATTATACGCCATTTTTCATACTATTGTTTCTTTGGCAACTGCTATAAATAGAGGATTATAGGCATTGACAATTCATTTGGGATTTTTTTCTAGAAAACTGATAAACTTACAGCTCTCTAAACTCTTTTGGAACTTTCTCTACACTTTTTTGTTGATTCATTTCCTCCACCGGCTCTTCCACCTTTCTCCACCACCATCCACCACGTCACTTACTTTTAAGTCAGTGCTTCTCTCACACCATCTCTCATATATCTTGTTTTATTTTTCCGCGACGCTTCCTCGCTTATCCCAACTATAACCCTTTCTTCAGTAGCTTTCACGATTTATTTAGTTATTTTTTAAATTCTTAATTTATCTATGAATTATTTATTCTAATAGTTATTTAGCTGAAAAGAACATTATATGTATAAACTCTTTGGAACAAACAACTTACAATGGCGGAAATGCAAATGTTACAGTAGGATATCCATACCTGGCTGGAATCTGCTCACACCATTTTTTTTTAACCCATTGTGCTTATCTACCAACTAATGCATTGTCCTAGGCACAAAAAAGATAATGTCCATATATCATATTTTAAAACTATGTGCCCATTTTTCTGCTGATGAAGATCAATGAAAATGTTATGTCACATCCAAGTGTGCGGCTCTTCCTCTTTATTTCTGTCTCAAATATGTTTATTTGTCCTTGTAAATACCCACAAAGCTTGGATTGAAGGTGACAAGAGTCTGTTTTGCCTTGAACTTGAAGGGAGAAGATTTTTTCTTGTTGGGCTGTAGTTAAAAAGAGTTGAGGTGAGGAAGCCATGAGAAGAGAGGGCCTCAGAATTAAGGCTTTGAGGTCCCCATTTACACCACACAAAAGAAAAATTAATTGGCCATTGGGGATCTTTCATTTTCACTTGTTTAGGAAAAACCCCTTTTCAAAAGAATGCACAAATACAACCCCCAACCCTGTGTTGGTTTGTAGGTAGTCACTTGGGTCCCTTGCGGCTTGAACCATGGCTGCCAAACAAACCCCCCGGTTCAAGTCTTGGTTAGAGGACCATATCTGTTGGGGAAATTAGACCCAACTATAATGTAGGCCTTAAATCCATGAAACATGCATTCCTTCTAACTCAAAACTAGAAGTGAACTTGCCCTATGTTGCGAATCTATTTTTCAAAATTGAAATTTATAAAAAATTTTATATTTATTTTAAAATTTTGTATTATATTATGAAATTAGATACACGTTAATTTTAATATAAATAAATTTGTCAGTGGTGAGAATTCATTTAAAAAATAAAATAATTATTATAAATAGATGTTATCATGACAGCTATTTTAGTTATAAGACAAAAACTTCAATTATCCAAACAAGTGTAGATATAATTAAATCATAAAATCAACCACATAGGAATATTAATTTAATGTGTTTTAATCAAATCGTCTTACATCCACAAATAAGAAAAAATATCTATTAATTATAGATAATTCAAACTTATAATAATATCAATCAATACTTCTAATCAATATTCATAGATCCTTTCATTATCCTTTACTCCTATAAAGTATTTCTAACACAAACAAATACATAAATATGGACACTCATATCTATATGGTCCTTTTCATTCACCTCTATTCTACTTAAACATACACACCCATAAGAACTCTCTAAATCTTTTTCAATAATAAGAAGTATTTACCCAATAAAATTTTATAGTTCTTTTACATTTTTTTCTCATACTTAACCTTATAGAAACTTTCATAATTTATAAACATACAAGCTTACTATTAAGAATTCTTTTACACTTAAAATTTTTTTCCTTATAAGTCTTCTTATCTATCAAATAATATTTAGCCATTTATAAGTTTTCTTTTCTATTAAGCAATATTTAGCTATTCTCGTCTTGAATAAAATTTTGTCCTAATCTCTTATGAATCTGAGTAAGTATTCCCAACAATCTCTATTTTGACTTAAATTTCATTAATTCATCAGTGTTTATGCTAGATATGCTTAGCTCCACTCGCAATGAAAAAATTTAAATCTTTTTCTTTTGTGTTTTTACATTTAATACAAATTAATCTTTCAATACACGAACTTGAAACTCTTCTTGGCTTGCCTTTTCTTATGTCTCAAAGTCTCACTATAATACCAATTGTTTAGAAGCTCTTATGGGCTTGTCTTTTCTTATGTTTTGAAATTTCGCTCTAATAACAATTGTTAGGTTTACGATACCTTTAATTTTAGTTATTAAGCAAAAGCCTCAATCATCTAAGTAAACGAAAGTATAATCAAATCATAAAATCAAATATGAAAGAGATAATAATTTGATATGACTCGGCCTAATTAGCCTACTTTTATGGATGAAAAAAAATTATTAATTATAAAGAATTATAAATATACAATTATATCAATTAACATTTACAATCAATACCCATGGATCCTTTTATTCTTTTATAATTTTATGAATTATTCTCAATCAAAATAAACACATAATCATATGCACCTATACCTATGTAAACCTTCTCATTTTTCTTTAGTCCATTCAAATATATACATTCATAAAAATTATCTTAATCTCTTCTAGTCCATTCAAATATATATACTTATAAAAACTCTTTCAATCTTCTTTAGTCTTAATAAGATGTCTATTCAATAAAATATTACAAAATTCGTATATTTTTTTCTCATACTTAATTTTATAAATACTTATATTATTTATAAGTATACAAATTTACTTATTAAAAATCACTTTTCACTTAAAAACTTTCTCTTATAAATTTTATTATCCATCAATTAATATCTAGTTAATTTTATTTTAAATAAATCTCTATACAAATATTTTATAAAATTTGAGTCATTATTCTCAATAATAAGACATTAAAATCATTTCTAAAGATATCAATACATAATTTTCATGCTAAAATAGATTTCACTTGTGAAAAAAAAATGGATAGAGACAAGAGATTAATGATAAATAAGTGAAAGAGATTGAAGGAGGTAAGCGACGAAAAACAGAAGAGAAGCAGGGAAAACTAGTGTTTTGATTAACAAAAAATCAAGCACTTTGAGGCTATGATTTCACTTCTCAAGCAAGCGTTGATTTGGTTTGGTATCACCGATTAGGCATTACGCCCAAGCAATGCTTGAGTGTTTGCCAAAAAAAGCTTGGGGTTTGACAACGGAACTTGGCTTTCTTTTGTTGCAGGATCGATGATAAATAATTTAATGACAATCAATGTAGAGAAAAAAAAAAAGTGTAATGATGAAGAAAGAATGAACAATGAGTCACAGCTCAAATGGGTTTTCAGAGCACTGACAGAGCCGTACACCGTTTTCTCACTGATTCAATAGTGAATCAATCATGGGCACAAATTTTTTGGGCCCACGTTTAAGGGTTTTCGGAAGCTTAGTAAGAAAAGAATGTGTCACATTAGTCACCACACGAGCTAATTAGGTGATGTCAATTCATGTCGTATTCTAATTTTTTTTTCGAAGAAGATTGATTTACTTCAAATTTGGAGCTAGGAGAATTAAATGATTTTTAAAAAATTTTTATTTAATGTTTATTTTGAAAATTAATTATATAGTATTCTCTTATCCTATATATATATTGGATATATCAAAATATATAATTGTTTTATATTTTAAAATTATTTTTATGATTTTTTTACTTTTGATATTAAAAATAATGAAAAATTAATTTTATAAAAAAATTTAAAATTTAATATTAAATATATTAAAATCAATTTTTTTTAAATTTATAAAAATTAATATATGATAAATATTTTGAAACGAAAGGAGCAATTAACATGTAATATATCAATATGATTATTTTTTTAAAATTTTTTTTGAAAGCCTCTATAAAAGTGATAAATTGAAGTAAAATTGACTAAAATACTAAAATTATATTATTGTATTTGAATAAAAAATTCAAATGTTTTAAAAGAATGTAAAAACACATCTATAAACTTTTGAATCAAATATTCGAATATATGAACAAAAACTCTTTTGAGTTTAAATGATTTAATGCATTTTTTTTGTTTGAAATTTTTTTATGTTCGATAGTTACTTTAGGTCTTGATTAAATTAGAGTCGAGTCGGATCATATCCTATAAAATTCGAAATTAAAATTTTATTTAAAAAATTAAATTTTTTGTCACTCGAATCAACAAACATTAATATTTAACATACTTTAAACTTGGAAATATAACAACCATATTAATTTACTTACAATTTTTGTTATTGTAAATAGTTTGATTGATTTCAACAACAAAAATAATAATTTATTAAAAAATTATAATTTAAAATTAAAAAAATTATAAATATTAAAATTAAAATTTTATATCTACTAAATAAATCAGCTCATCTAAGTTAAAGATTAACGACCCATAAAATTAATTGGTGCTGATGAGCCAAGAATTGACCAAAAGGATCCCATCCATTTAATAAACGACATCACACCTAGAAACTTAGGAGTCAACAAACTTCAAATTGCCAAAGCAAGCATATATATTTTCATTTCTAATAGATGATAATTCAGCAATGCATCCGTATTTTCAATGAGGTATAATTAAACTTTAGTTTTTATTAGTTGAATTTAAATATTAATTTTAATAAAATTTATTTAATATAAATTTTTTATTAATTATAATAATAATAATTATTATTATTTTTAATGTTATTGAAACTAATCTCATCAATAATCGACTCTCTCCGTATAATTACTAAGCTGAAAAATGATTAAAAGATATGCAGATTTGGTAGCAGTTTGCCATGTGTCTGACAACGCATTAATGGTGGAATGTAAATCACTAAATTTTGCACCATTGATGAGTCACGGAAATGCTGGAGATATCTTTGGCAAGCGGCCTCATTCAGAATGAGTCATTCTCCTTTTCCTTCCCCACCGTTTTCTTGAACGTATCAATCAATCCCACAACGACAGCACTACAGCAATTGCCCACTGCCTGCTGCTGGTTCCCTAGAACTCAAAGCCCCCTCTGGCTCTAATCTCTTTCTCTCCCCGCAAATGTTAAATGACCAAATCAACCCTTCCCTCCCCATTCCCTTCAGCTCTTCCCCTCTCTATTCGTCTTGTCACCATCCTTAGGCCTCCGTTGTGCAGCTCTCAGCCCCATCCCTATCCCCTCTCTCTATCTCTCAGTTGGGCTTCAATTTTATCAAACACTTTCACTTTCACCATACCCCTCTTCAAGTCCACCCATTGCCCTCTCTCTGTCTCTCACTCGCTAACGTGCGCCTATAAAAGAACAGAAGATCAGGAATTCTATACAACAGAGCTTCTCTCTCTTTCCCCATCTCGTGTTGTTTTGTTTGTTGCTATCTTGTACCGTTACAATAGTGAAAAAACAAGGAGAAAAAAAAAAGATAACCTTGAAAGACCTGTCTTTTAACCCTTTAGTCTTTGCATTTCGTTGCCATCTGCTTACGTTTTCATCTACATAAACAGAAGTGAAACAGAAGAGAAGGCCAAAAAAGAAACCTCCTTTTTTCTTCTTTCTCCCACATAACCAAAACGTCCAACGATCAAAGAAAAAAAAGCTTCAGGCTCGAGCCAAGTTTTTCATTACACCAAAGACCTCTTTTTTTGCCTTCATGGGTCTGCTGATTCTCTTCCTGCTAACGTGCGCGGCACTTCCATTGGCTTCATCAGATCCATACGACGAGGCTTGTTTAACTCAATTAAGCCAATCCTTGAAAGACCCATTAAAGAACCTGCAAAACTGGACCCAATCCACCTTTGCAAACCCTTGTAGCGGTTTCACTTCTTATCTCCCTGGTGCCACTTGTAACAATGGTCGAATCTACAAACTTTCCCTTACAAATCTCAGTCTCAAAGGCTCTATCTCACCATTTCTCTCAAACTGTACCAATCTTCAGTCACTTGACTTATCTTCAAATTCCATCTCAGGTCCAATCCCACAAGATTTACAATATTTAGTCAACCTGGCAGTGTTGAATCTTTCATCAAATCGTCTTGAAGGAGAGATCCCTCCACAGCTTACGTTATGTGCTTATTTAAACGTCATTGATCTTCATGACAATTTATTTACGGGTCAGATTCCTCCAGAATTAGGCCTTCTAGCAAGGTTGTCAGCTTTTGATGTTTCATACAACAAGCTTTCAGGGCCAATACCAGCCTCTTTAGGGAACAGAAGTGGGAATTTGCCAAAGTTCAATGCTACTTCTTTTGAAGGAAATGAGGATCTTTATGGATACCCTCTACCACCTATGAAAAGCAAAGGGTTGTCAGTTTTGGCCATTGTTGGGATCGGATTGGGAAGTGGACTTGCTAGTTTAGTGCTTAGTTTTACTGGAGTTTGTATTTGGTTGAAGATTACAGAGCAAAAGATGGCTGCTGAAGAAGGGAAGATAAGTCAGCTTATGCCTGATTATTAAAAGCTTGAATCTTGATTTAACATGTTATCGAGGATTACTGAGCTAAATTGGAAAGATTGAAAATTCCAGGTATGTTTCAAATTTTTTTCTTTCTAAATTTTAGTGAGGTTTGGGCTAATCGTATTTAGAGAAGTTGTCTTTTACTGATTTTTTGGATAGAGTTTTTCTGGGTTTTTTTTTTGCTCAACTTTTTTGGGGTTGGGATTCTCTATCATATTTATGTTCAACAATCATCAACAATGTATAAAGCAATTCAAACATGAGCCTTTTCAGTGAAATAGTGCAGCTTCTTACTAATAATCTTCTCTTTCTTTCTTTTTTAATCGTTATCTTTTCATTCATGAATGTAAATGAATGATTTGCTGTTATTATTATTCGATCTTCTATGGCATAGAGTGCGGAGTCTAGGGGGATGAATGAAAGAACTGCGCAGTGGAATTTTGTCTGCTGGTGGCAATGGATATTTATTATATGGATGAAGAAAATAGTGGTGGGGACTCAGGGGACTGGGGTCTCTGTAAAATCCTGAAACTTGAAACTTGGTTGAATTTGTTAAAAATGCGCTTCACCTACTTTGGTTTCTTGTGCTTCGCTAATGTGAACTCATGGGAGACCAGCACCCTTGTTCACATGCCTATGCATATTGTCTTCTTCTTAAAAAAAAAAAAAAAAAGCTTTAATAAACTCTGTACTTTGGCTTTTAGGCTTTGGTCATGCCAACATTCCGGACGGTTCCCATCTTGTTTCTACTTAATTTTTGCTTATGGTTCAAGTCTCCTTTGATATGAGTAAAAAGAATGACTTGACTTTAATGAGGTGGCTTGCATTATTATAGTATGTGGGTTTTTGCTTGGTTTTATGAGTTCAAGGCACTTGGATTTCCATTCCAACTTCCTTTATTCATTTCTTTTTCATTTTTGGGTTGACAGTATAGAGTTCTAGCCTTCTAGTATTTGTTTAAGTTCTCAAAGTTAACTTTATTTTCTTTATTGGCAATAAACAAGTTTGTTATACCAAGTCGGTCACTGCTTGAAACTTTCATTATTTATTTATTTTTTTTAATATTTGAAGCTATGCATGATTTAGTATTCCAAAAAATAAGGGAAAAAACATTCACAAAGCATTCTTAACCAAATCGAATTAGACAAATATACAGTGACTATAATCAAAATTTTTTGTCTTTTTAAGGTTCAGTCAATAAAGCCAATTAGGCCCACAAATTGTCTTCAAGTTCTAAACTTGTTTTTTTTTTTGGGCTTTGAAAGGAATGGATGGCTGTGATTGCATAAATTTCAAAGTGACACCGAAAGCAGTTGATGGTCAAATTTGCTTTCATTCCTCCCATCAACGGGTCTTCCGGGAATGGCATGCATGTCATCATGGGCTGGACCCCATATTTTTTTTTGTTTATGTTGTTGGTTGAAAAGAGAAAAATAAAAAAGGTTGAAATTGTTTCTGATTGATGATTCACCTGATTCTGATCTGATCCATTGCTTCTTTATTTTGATTTTTAGTCGCAGGGGTTTGGGGTTTGGTTTAAATGCCATTCACGCATTTAATAGTTTTATATGCTTTTTTTAAATTGATCCACGCCAAAATCTTTTAATTTCCTCGTAAATGAGAGAAGCAAATTTGTTTAAAGGTCAAACTATTCATTGAAACTTAAAAATTTATTTAAGTTTTGAGATAATTTAAATAAAAAATTAAAATTTATTAAACGGATTTAAACATAATTTTTAAATTTATTAAAATTTGAGTAAGTTTTAGACAAAAAAATTTAAAATTGAATCAAATTTGATCTGATCTAAATTTAAATATAATATAAAAATTAAAAATAAAAAAAAATATATTTTATTAATTTTAATTTTAATTTTATATAATTTTAATTTTAATTTATATATGAATTGAATATAATTTTATTAAATTTATTTAATCATATTTTTAATTTTTTATTATATAAGATAAGTTAATGAATGAATTTAAAATTTATTTTTTTATTTGAATCAAATTTTAAAAAATTTTAAATTTCAAAATTTTAAATCAAATCATGATCAAATATATAAATTATTAATATTAAAAATTAATCCGGTCCAATCCATTAATACCTCGATAGAGAAGGTTACAAATACAATGAAGGCAAACAAAAAGTTTGGGACCATGTCATCAAGTTTTGACAATTTAGATTGGGTATTTGGGTTGTGTCCATTAATTTTTATCTGTTATTAGTGGATCTTACCCTATTGGGCTGAGATTTAGGAATTTAATTTTTAGCCAATTTCCTCTAAATGTTGCATTCTAAATTTCTTCTAGGCAACCCAAAACGAAAACAGGTTCCGACTGACGCAGGTGGATCCTAGTTCCTGAATCCAATCCATCTCTCCCTATGTTTTGATGTAAAATATTATTTTTTAAGATTCCTCAAATGTACCGTTGTCGAAGGATCTTTTGGAAATGGTTAGGAGTTAGGACTTTCGAATTGAAGTCTTTTAATTTTTTGTTAATCCATCATCTACTAATTAAGTTTATAAATTTTTTTATGGCTGTGTGAAATGTTTAAACAAACATATATATTTTCATCTTACGACTAGTTTAAAATATTATTTTAAATTTAATATAATTGATTTATTCAATCACTTAAAAAAAAAATATTCAACAATATGATGAATCCACTTTTTAAACTAAAAGGCATTCATGGACACTGCAAAAATTAACAAAAATTAAAAAGTATAAAATTTTATGAAATTTTTTTTTTTTGAATATCTTCATAAATTTTTTTGAATATTTTTTTCGTTGATAAAACTAATAAATTTACATCAATATCTATATATTAATTATAAATAAAATTTGAATTTTTTATTATTTAATAAATTTGAAATTTAAATTTTAGTATATGTAATTCATTAAATTGTTCCTAAACTAAGTATAATTTATGGAATTGAAGAGAATTCACCTAAAAAAAGAATCAACTTATTGAAAAAAAAAAATAGAAAAGGCAAATGACATCCATGTCTTCTTAGGCTAACAGCCAAAATCATGGTCGAGTCGTGGTCATCCTCCCATAAGATAAAATTACGTAGTCTAATCTTATTTCCTATTTCAGGTAATTACAAATACAAGAACTAAAACCAGCAATAGAAGCTAGCATGATGCCATACCAAACAAACCTGCCTGAGTCAGACTACCTTTTTCATGTCCTCCAGCTTAGCTCTTCGGCTTTTAGCTTGTCTTTTCTTTCTCATATATAATTCTTGAATTTTGAGTCTTGACATCAATACCACAACTTTTGTCTTCGTGAAAAAACAAGAACAGAGTGATCGGGTTTAACTGTTTAACGAACAGGAAGTAGAAACTGTAAAATTTAAGATTCAAAATGAGACCTATTCTTTAAACCTTATTTCGTCTGCTTCAATGCCATTACTTAGCTTAACTTGAATAACCATCAGCCTTCCATATAAAGAGGCTCTGGTCCTGGTCCACATCTTCTACATCATCTCTCAAATCCATCACATATTAGAGTTTTTCATCAAAAACTAGGCTAAAAAGACCCATCCAAACTACCATCATTTGCCGCTTTTGCAAAAACCAAGAAGATTTTATTCTCTTCTAGTTCATTCCAGTTCCGGTTTCACCGTTTAAAGAAAATGGTGATGGTTTTTGATAATTATATTGTTGGGATCACATCTTTGGTTTCTCTTTTTGGCTTTGTTTTTCTTTTCATTTTGTGGCGTAATAGCAATAGCAAGAAGAAAATCGAGAAAGGTTCTAGGGAATTTAAGATCGAAACAGACGCTGTTAACAGCACCGACGTAGGAGAATGCTCGCCGGAAAATGGTTCCGAATATGACATCATCATTGTCGGTGCCGGTGTTGCTGGTGCTGCTCTTGCTCATGCTCTTGGCAAGGTAAATTCCTGTTTTCTTTTAATTATTTTTCTTATGTACTACTATAAGTTACTGTGTTCTTTTTAATTTGTGACGTAATTAAACAAATCAGTTTGGAGTTTGACGTTGATTACGTAATTGCCATGAAAATGATATCTTGTTAAGTACAAGATACGGACTTGAACTTTATTGCCATTGTGCTTTCGACGTGTTTGCAGATTACTTGATTTCTGAAGCATTAGAATCATAGAAGGGCTTAGACTGGTGTTCGTTTGCAATGATCCTTTCCGAGTTATTTACTGTTAATTCAACTACAATGTTATTATTTCTATTTTCAGGATGGAAGGCGTGTTCATGTGATAGAAAGAGACTTGACAGAACCAGACAGAATTGTTGGGGAACTGCTGCAGCCAGGAGGATACCTTAAATTAGTTGAATTGGGCCTTCAGGGTATGCACGAAAATTAGTGTGCATCTTATTAAAAATGTGAACAAACTTTTGGTTGTTATTAATAGCCAGTTGGTTTTGAGTTGGATCTGATCTCCTGAATCTTTTTACCTGTAAAATGCAATTAAACCCTTTTGATTACAGATTGCGTGGAGGAAATTGATGCCCAGCGAGTGCTTGGGTATGCTCTCTTCAAGGATGGGAGAAATACTAGATTGTCATATCCCTTGGAGAAATTTCAGGCAGATGTTGCTGGAAGGAGCTTCCATAACGGACGTTTTATCCAGAGGATGAGAGAAAAAGCTGCTACTCTTCCCAAGTAATCTTTTTTGCTTCCTGGATTCATGATGCATACTTATTAGTTACAAACTTCCTGCTGCATTGTTAATTTTGCAATTTTTCATGCACAAATTTTCATTTTATATTCGGTAAATGGTTACAAACTTGCAAACAATTAATCTCCTTCCACACTTGCAAACAATTTTCAGTGTACGGCTAGAGCAAGGAACAGTAACATCTCTGCTAGAAGAAAATGGGACAATTAGAGGGGTGCAAAACAAAACTAAGGATGGTCAAGAACTAAAAGCGTATGCTCCTCTTACTATTGTATGTGATGGTTGCTTTTCAAACCTACGCCGCTCTCTTTGCAACCCGAAGGTGAAGTTACCATCTTATAATTGTTATATTAATACTCTCTTCTTATCTGACAATCAGTATAAACAATAATGGTCAACCAAACACATATCTTTTGTGCTAAATGCAATCCTTTAATTTTGCATGTGCTTCTGTTTCTTATGATGTTCTTCCAGGAAAGTAAATGTAGCGTTTTAATTTTTCAACAGGTGGATGTGCCCTCTTGTTTTGTGGGTTTGGTCTTAGAGAATTGCAAACTCGCATTTTCAAATCATGGGCATGTTATCCTAGCAGATCCTTCACCCATCTTGTTTTATCCAATCAGTAGCACAGAGGTTCGCTGCTTGGTCGATGTACCAGGGCAGAAAGTACCTTCCATTGCTAATGGGGAAATGGCAAATTATTTGAAGACCGTGGTGGCACCACAGGTATCTGTTAATGTTGGTGCATGATTGTTGATTGTCAACTTATGATGAAAAAATCTGTTTCTTTGTAGCTGCACAATAAAATTTAACTTTCATCCTTGTTCATATTCAAGCATCACTCAGTCACTTGCCTTGCCTGCTGCACACAATACCTTGGTTTAATCATGGAGTGTCTGTTTCAGGTTCCAACTGTGCTTCATGATGCCTTCATAGCTGCTGTTGACAAAGGTAATATTAGAACCATGCCAAATAGAAGTATGCCAGCTGATCCTCATCCGACTCCTGGAGCACTTCTCATGGGTGATGCTTTCAACATGCGCCATCCTTTAACTGGTGGAGGAATGACTGTGGCATTGTCTGGTATTGTCGTACTTCGGGATCTTCTTAGGCCTTTGCATGACCTTCATGATGCAGCTTCCCTGACCAAGTATCTTGAATCCTTTTACACATTACGCAAGGTCAGTTGGCTTCTTATGCTATGATCCTGACCAAGTATCTAACACGGTAGTGTTTCTTGTGTGGTTTCTATGTAACCAAGTAAAATATGAGTCTAAGATAGTTGCATTGCATCTTTGGTTTAATTACAACTATCACCATAGAGAATTTTTCAACTGCTTGAACATCCTAGTGGCTAGAATTTTATTATCGTCTTCAAAAAATCTGAAATGATTATCTGGTGATGTTCATGTTATAAAGGACGAAAATTCTAGATTTTAGGTTCCACCAAGGACATTAAACCCCTTTACTTTCCAACCTGAAAGGGCTTCGAAGTTAAATATACAACGAATCAGGGATGTTATTTTCGAAGATTTTCTGTTTGCTCATGATATGATGTTTATTGCAGCCTGTGGCATCTCTACAATAAATACTCTGGCTGGTGCCGTTTATAAGGTGTTTTCTGCTTCCCATGATCAAGCAAGGAAGGAAATGCGCCAGGCCTGTTTTGACTATTTAAGCCTTGGGGGTATTTTTTCAACTGGACCAGTGGCTTTACTTTCTGGTCTAAACCCTCGCCCATTAAGTTTAGTTCTTCATTTCTTTTCCGTGGCAATATATGGAGTTGGTCACCTGCTCCTACCATTTCCTTCACTTCAACGCATGTGGATTGGAGCTAGGTTAATAAAGGTATGCATTTTACACCCTTTATGCTGTTGATGGCACTTCTCTTTTTTTTTTTTTTTTGCTTTCTAAGTTTTACTCCCTTTTGTTACATATTTTCCTTCCTTGTGTTC